TCTTTGTTTCCAGTACTACCTTCAGAAAGGGAGATATGTATACACCCTAAATGTTGGAGCAGCAGTGCTGAATAGCAGAAAAAAGCAGTACAAAGGAGAGTTTGCAATGTGTTCTGGTATCATCAAAATGGGACCATGTCATAAGTTTGTAGAAACTTGGTCTTTTTTACAGGGAGGTTGTAGCAAACTTAGACTCATCTGTCAGGAAGAGAAAACATGTACAATGGATGAATAGAAGACTTAGAGAATGCTTAATTATAATTTTTGAGAAATTTGGCTGCTAATTACAGAAGGATTAATGTGATCCATAAAAAGTAGGTCCAGCAGTTCTTCCCTGCTCATAGGGAAGGACACATCATCTCTATAATTATTAAAACTTATTTTAAATAATTAGACCACAACTGAAAAATTGGGAAAGAAGCATACCAAAATTGATGTAGAATGAACACGTGCTAAATTACTTTTCCTTAAACTTTGTTGTACTTGGTAAGGGTCAAAGTATGCATGTTTACCAGAAGTATTCTGTACATTAGGATAATCTGCTAAAACATACACACATAAATTGTGACAGTGTGTATTTTTTATTGCCTCCTTTATGATGTATTTAAATAACAAATAAAGGAAAGTAGCTTTTTGTGTGGCTTCCAAGACTTGTACTAAGTATGCTCCACAATGTTTGGGGTCAGAATCCAAGCCTGACTTCTTCAACACGAATGGAGAGATACTCATCGATTCCACTATGAATTGAACCCAGACTGAAAGGATGCTTTGGCAACTGTCTCTAAATCAAGGGAGATGGCTGTATGTGCAGTGTGCCGCCTTCTGTGGGAGAAGTATAGAAATACAGTGGTTACTAATTATTATTTTTTAGCCAAACAGACTCTTAAAAACAAAACTAGCAAAATTCAGATAAAAGAACAATAAGGAAACGGTGAGAAAGATCATGTGCCACATGCTCTGGCTGTAATAAGTAATGAATCAAACTGGAACAATTGTAGTTTTCATTAAGCAAAAAAAAAAAAAAGGGGAGGAAACGTTATCTAATTACAGCAGGCCATTGCTGATGTTACGTAGCAATATTCTATCAAAGCATGTAAACAGGGCCCATCTTTTGCACCCATACTATTGTAGAATTTAAAAATCAGTCTTGGGTTTTATGTGATTCAGACAGTTTTGGTTTAAAAAACAAACCTAATTTGACTAAAGCCAAGAAGGATGTTTGACATTTCTTACCATTCATTCATTTTAGCATATCAGCCAGCTGGAAAAACTGCTTTTTGTGCTATTCATTAAAGGAAAAACTGAGCTATAGAATTATCATGTCAGAATTTCCTATAGGATAAATGAAGGTGAAATAAAAGTTCATAAGTGATTTGATTACTAATTCTGATATTTACAAACGACCTGGCAACTGTTGCAGTGTAGGAAGTGATAGGACCAGCAGTGCTTGTTGCATTATTTTTGGTGAAAATAAATTCCCCATGTGTAAATGATGTGACCAGTCCATCTTGGGATGGGAGAGGTTGCCAGGCAAGTTTTTTGCTATCATTCATTATTATTTTCATGCTATCCTCCATAAAGGAAAAAAAAAAAATCATGGTTCTATAGGAATCTTTCCAAACTGAGATGCCAGGGCTGAGTTTCCTCACTTCCAGATGCTTTGTCAGAATTGTAGTTCCCTGAGAGCTGGAACTCGTGCATACCTGTGGGAGCAGATGAAAGAATAGGAATAAAAATAAGATACTGAATTACTTCTGCTGGTACATGCCTGAAAAAAATCATCAAAGGTTATTATAATTATGACTGTTATTAGATAGCATGTCTGGTTTCTGCATATTTAAATTCTGAGAGAGGTGAAACTTAGGCACTTACAGATCCCAGGGGAATAATTGCAAAAATGATGACATATTCCACTTCTTGAACAAATTTCAATACCAAAGCTGCATTCTGCGTACTTACATTTCTTCTTAATTATACTTGGATGCAGGATAGATAGTCATTTTCTGTCTTACAAATGTGTGTAGCCAATTAGTGTTGTAGATCATGAATACCCAATGGCCTAACTCATTAAATGGAATTTTCCTTTTCTGTTGTTATGGCAAAAGAGTCTGCAAATAGCTGAATATCATCTTTCCCTGTGAGCTCAGCCTTGGCCAAGGCTACAAATCCAGTAACTTGAGCAAGTGAAAAATTACTGGGTTTACCTGTACTCCTTACAGTTTGCCATCTTAGTCTTGTGAGTGTGTGTGTATGTACGTATATACGTATTGTAAATCGGTATAGGCTGTTTGGCTCCTCTGCACTTCTGGTAGTCAATTTTAATGCTACAGTTTTGATGCTATGTGACAAATCTAGTCTTCCTGATTTCCTCCCATTCCCAAGAAATTCCGAGCCCAGAAGCTCTGTCTGGCCCACCGAGACGTGGAGACCTGAGCTCTTTTTGCTCATGGAAGCAAAGATAAGAAAAACTGGCAGTGTGTCTCTGAAGAAACCACTGCTTATATCAAATGATCAAACACAGGTGTTCTTTTCTTCTTTCCTCTGATTTTTTTATTATTATTATTTGCATTTCATGCTTGCCATTCTGTCATCTGAGAGTGTGAAGATAACACATGTAGCTTAAACTACCTGACAGGCAGGAATCGTAGAGATGATGAAGGCAGAACGTTACGACCAGAGAGAAGCAGGGAACCACAAGACAGTTGTGAAATGAGTTACAGACCCAGTATTGCTTTGAGCTGGTTTTGCTAAGTTATGGTATGGCATCAGTAAATAATGAATACAATGCGAGGACATGACTTGGTGATTGGCCTTGGTGCTTTTCAGTGGTAGCATGTTTCCCCAAGGGTGAATGTTCCTTATCTAACATTTCGTCCTCTTCTTTTTCATAATATTGCATAACATCTGAGACTTTGGTACTATAGTGCTACAGCAGATACTGGGTTATGATTTTAAAAGATATGGTCTCAAATACTATAGAAACAACAAAATCTCTCGGTTCAGGGGAAATGTTCCCTGTAATCTTATTACTGGCATAGTTATCTCCAGTGCCTTCTTGACATGTATTTGCAAAAATCATCTGGAGATTTGAATTGGCTAACTGTTTTCTTGAAAGAAAAAAAACACCTTACCATTTAGGGGAATGGTAAATAGTTACACTGGATTTAGGTTACTAAAATTTGAGTTCATGTTGTATCTATTGCTATTTGTAATTGCAGACTTCTCAGAGAAACATGAATGGAAATTTTAAATGTGCTATAAACAACTGTTAAACACCTTTTAAAAGTATGCAAAAATATACATCTTTTCTACTATTAGGATTCTGTTACTGGGTCTGTAACTCAGGGCTTGTGCCCCTTCTGCTGTGTACCCCACAGTTGTGGTCCTAGGGAATTAACTCCACCTGCCTTTGGGGAGATGAGCTGGGGGCTTTCTGTCTCCCCTGCTCTCCAGGGTTTATTTGGGAATACTCCAGGTACATGCACAGGGAAGGGAAGGCAAGAGTTATTCCATTAAGTCTTTCTGTTTGGTGAGTGGAGAATTATATACATATCGTGTATGTGTGTATATATATGCATATATACAGTATATATACACACTGTAATGTAGATGTGATATTGCTGTTCTTATTTCTTCTTGTTCTTTTTCCTGCCATTGACTGTTAGAGAAAATCCTAATCTTATCTTTTACTGCTTGTACCTTAAAGAATCAAAACATTATTATCTGATCTGCATCTTCTTGCTAATTCACATGGACCTTATGCTGGAGGCCTTAAAACTTCTCCGTAACAGCTGCCACTAGGATATGGTAGAAGTCTTTCAGGGAGGGAGGAAGATCTTGAATGGAGCCTTGCTCACAGGTTTTAAAAGCTTGGAGTAAAATGTGAAACCTTTTTGATTCTCAAAATAGCAATAAAAGCAGTAAATTTAACTTGCTAGACAGTTGTAATTTGCAGAATGCATTTGTCAAATAGTTTGGAAATAATCCAGGGCACATTTAGATGAAAAAAAGTAGACATGGGCTCAGACTAAAAATGTGACCTAAGTGTCCTCCAAGGTTTGCAGAAATTAGGCAATAAACTTCATTATACAACTTAGTAATGGACAAAATCAAAAGGTGTTGTGTGGGGGATTTTGAACTTTGGGGAAAGTCAGATTTTTTTTCATACATACTTGGCAGCTAAATTGCAACTGATTTGTTGGTCTTCCATTAACTAATTGTAAAACTGGTGCTTCGTTTGAACTGTGTTAGTGCATTTGGAAATTGGGAGGTATGATTGAAACACTGGACTTTTTAGCCCAGAGTTTATTTGGCCTTTAATATCGCTGTGTCTGTGAGTTGCTAAAAACTCTTCTCCATTGAGTCTTGGTAATATGCAGTGTTGACTCCACTGTCGTGGAAATCAATGTGATCTCATCGGTACAGTGAAATCGCCACAAAGGGTTAAAGAGATGCCCTGGCGTAAATAACAAGTGCAGCTTTTCAGAAAAAGAAGGCAAATAAATGAGCTTGATGGCACCTAGAAGTTGTGCAGTGTGCCACAGTGCCCCGTTTCTCTCAGGTGCTGCTAATTGTTTTGTTTGTCAGAGGGCTCCTGGCAGGGGGGAGCGGTGTTACCTTTTTGTGATTGATTGCAGAATTTTATGCTGAAGGGGAGTTTTTCCATTAGTTGGATGAAGCCGTAGCGGACTCTGTGCACATCTGACATTTTTATTTGTTACTGTGTTAATATGTAAAAATCAGCTTGTATTTCTGAACTGGATTTTCTTTTTAAGCCATCACAGTACCACAGTTCTAGCCCTCCGTTCTGACTTTTAACCCTGTCAGTTTTAGACAGTTTGAACTAGGGCTTTCTCTGCCCTGCTTTCTTGCTGACACAAAATTTCCTCAGAGAATTTGATTATTTCTGCTAAGAGTGTTTGTTTGTAGTTGCAGCTCTCTTCTGAGTGTAATTCAATATTTTTGTTTTCTGAGACATCTCTCTTGTCTTTATTTTCCAGGTTGGTGAGAGGCAGAGAGTTCTGGTAACAGAAGAATCCTTTGATTCCAATTACTATGTTGCTCACAATCCTTTCTATGAGCAGGTACAGTTAAATAAACAAAATAACATCTTTTTGTTTTATCTTTGCTTTCTGATAATCTCAGCAGCACAGTGTGCCACAGTGCAAAAAAAACAAGTAAGAAACAAGAAACATTTTCCAGGAGAGGTGTGACCATCAAGAAATGTTTATGAGATATTTAGTTTCTGTGTCGTAAATACAGTTTACCTGAAATTATGTTAAGTAATACACAGTGGCTCTTTGAGTGTACAGCATGAGGAGGATACTTGCTATGTATCCAAATTATTTGGAAGGTTTAAGAAGCTCTTAATTACTGCAGTAATTTTAATTTCTGTGTCTCCAAAGCATCGTTTTCTGAATTGTGGAATTTTAATAATTTCCATTCATCTTTCAGAGAATCCTTTCAGGCAATGCAATTTGCAAAAAAAATAATTTCAAGCAGTAGGAGGGGTCAGAAAGTTCTTTAGATGAACACTTCAGCCTGATATGTTGTATTTCCTTCTATGTACTTTCTATAAATGAATTCTTTCCACACAGAAACATTATCTTTGAGCTAGGAAGGAAGTAACAGCATCTGTTTCACAAAATTACTGGTTTTGCTCAAAAGCAGATGACTTGCTGAAAACCAATAAAATTGGCTTTTCTGAATCATCATGATTTCATTCTGGTTTTGCCTTTGGCTTGCTCTCCATTTTCTTGCACTGAGCTGCAGGCAGTTTGCTTTTGCTACCTTTAGTTATTGAGTTGTCTGAACCTGGCGAGGCTGCTGCTGCTGGCTGTGCTTATATAGTCACCAATAGTGCTTTCTTCTGGTTCCGGGTAATGTCACAGCATTTATTTATTTATTTTTGCTTAGGAGTAAGTAACATTACTGCTCTTGAAATATGTTTCTATTAGATATCTGGTTCACTAGTTATTTTTTCCCTGGTTTAATTTTTTTTAATACATCTCTTTCTTTTTTTTTGTTACATCTCTCACCTCTGTCTAAATCTTACATATCACTGTTTCTTGCTTTTGTAGCTTATCTGTCAGATTTGAGGAATATGGTTTTCCATATGGAGATGAAAAATTGCTTGGGGCTTTTTAGTGCTCAATACTTGTTTTATGAAAGTTTCATTAATTAAAGGAAAAGCAGTATGTGGAAAAAAAAAAAAAGTGTTGATGTTTCATGGGGAGTTTGTAAAGCACCTAATACAGGTCCTGATTGGGACTGGTAGAGAATACACAAAATACAAACGGTAACATAGGGAGTAATTTTAAATTTTATTATGGAAGAAATACTTTCCATTATTAAAATGTATGTCTTTTCCCTAAAATCTTGTATGGCATGTTTGACAAGGTTAATATCCTACTGTTTGCCCAGGTAAGGACAAGACTTGGTGCTGGTGACTAACTTCACTAGCAGTAAATTTAATGATAGTAAATTGAAAACCACTGTTGAGTCACTAAATATCGTATTATACTTTGGAAGCTGAAGCTTGGAGTCCTGTTGTAATGTTCTGTTAACTCAAATAGTTATCAAACCTATTCTCTCTTCACTAAGCTCGTCTATATTAAAAGAGTTTGCTATTAGAGCAGCACATCGGCAGAGCTACACTGACAGACTTTCTGGTAGAACTGCAGCTTATATTTGTGGAGGCTTTGGTGGTGTAGTTTAAGGTAGTTCATTGAAGAGAGTAGTCTAAACAGACCAAAGGGTACTTTGCCAGAACAACAGTCAAGATGAGGGTGTCTGTTGGTATAGCTTTGTTTCTTAGAAATAGGGTTGGGGATTTTTTCCTAACAGATACTTGTATCAGAAAAATGTAGGCGTGTACACCAAGCCTGGCTGCTTGGTTGTTTACAGTACCTCCCAGATATATTCATTTAACCTCTTTCTTTTTCTGAAATAGTAGTCACTTACCCATGTCTGTCCTTGAGGATTTATATTTGGTTACTGCCATTTCGAATATGGAGCTACCACGATTTGCAGAGGTCGCAGGCCCAGTGATACTTAGTTACCTAATTTTCCTTTGATTTAAATGTGCTGGAGATGAGCTATTGGGAAGAACTGTGATCTAGTCACATTGTCATACCGTCTCAGCATTAGGATCCTGGCTTTGTGTTTGCCACTTAGTTCCAATCAGTCTCAGCTTGCCCATCTCTGAAAGGCAAAGATACCTGCTTTTCTTGGAAGATGCTTAGGAAGCTCAGCAGAATCCTAGAATCTGGAACCTCCTACAGTCATGAACACCTTGAGCCGTCAGGAGAAAAAGGGAAACTACTGGTGATCATTTCCTCCAACTGAGACAACCAACACTTGTGATAGGTGAAAATGAAGAAGGGCACAGAGTTTTCCTCTGAAAATCCTTTCTACATGTAGTCTAAAAATCAAGCCATTTTAAGGCGTTTCAGCATCCAGAAATCAAGATATACGTATGTGCTCATCGCCTTTGAAAAGCTTGCATTTGTGCGTGGGTGAGCTTCAAGTAAATGTGATTAAGTAAGACCCCATGATTCAATTTTTCATTGTTTAATCAGGAAATGACTCTGCTTTTCTTTTTTAACTGCTTCTCTATTTTTAGAGCCTTTTTATGCCATTTGTTCTTCCAGCAAAAAGTGTTGCTCCTGTATGTTGGGCTTTTTCTTTTGTAACATGCATGACCTGGGAACATCTGTTATGCAGTGTCTTTTTTGTGAAGTTCTTATGGGACTGTCTGATATCATGGTTGAGCAAATTCAGGAAAGGGTGGCATTAGGTGCTGACCCAGGAAACACACTCATCCATTTTTACGAGCATTCATTGTCAATCATGCATCTCAGCTGCGAAGGATCTGCGCAATCAAAATAAGGGCTTGTGCAAACAGAAACAAGGGCATAATTTCTGTCCTGAAGCATTTACAGACTCAAAAACATTTAAAAAAGAAAAGTGTCATGAGATAGATGTGAAAAAAGGAAGCTTTACAGCAGTCTGTTAGAATTGTGTAGTATAAGTGCCCTTGGGAACTGTTTGGGTCTGGATTCAAATGTTGCAACTCAGGCCCAACTTTCTCATCAATCAAAAAACACGACTCATGGAATCGGTTGGAGTTGAAAAGAGCTGAGCTAACACTGCAAAGCTCTTAAAGAATGCAAGCTGGAGATGTTACTGGTCAAGTGTGTCAGGGGCTATAGTGTATGCTGGTGACTAAAATTTTAAAGTTTTAGGATTTGCTCTGACGTTTATCAAAAATCTGTTTTCTGAGTGGAAGCTGGAGACACTGATGTTCTTTGTGGTATTTAATAACTATGTCTTTATCTTTACTTGAAAGGTTCTTGTGCCAAAGGATCCTCTGTTAATGGGTAAGATGGTAGAAGTGAATATTTATGAAGCTGGGAAACATTATATGAAGGGGCGACCAGTGTCAGATGCCAGAGTTTACACTGCATCCATCACCAGACCGTTAGCAAAAGGAGAAGTTTCTGGTTTAACAGAGGTGAGTAAAAGACATTTTCTGCTTTACTACACTGGTAAAACAGCAGCTGTTCAAGCATAATGATTCCATGCTATGGATCTGTTATCATTTTATAGTTCCCTTTTTATATATGCATGAAGCTTTAATCTTTCCTGACAGATTGAAATCTGAATTTAAAAGGTGTTTTTGCTGATGCCCATAGCTTTACTTTGCTGACTATAAAGGCAATAATACACTTGTTTCTTGTTCCAGGGTGCAAGTTGAGGAAAGAACTTAGTAGAATTGAAAAGATTTAGCACCAGTGATTATATAATTCAATGTATTTCAGTTCTAGTTTGGTGGAAGGATGAATCGGTTTATTTTGCTTTACAAAGCTGTTTTAAAAAAAAGTTGATTGATTATATGACTGTTAAAACGTGTCAAAATTGGATTCAGAGATTCAAAATTAATTGATGGGTAGAGATACAGAATATTTACAATATGTTTTGGAAGAAGGTCAACATCTGATTTAGTCATGTAAAGAAAATGAAACTCTTTTAAAAAGAGATCTGATCCTTATTTTACACCTCAGTAGATATGGCTGTTAGCCAAGTATTCTCATACATTTCATGGAGCTCTAGTTGTAAAAGCTGATGGAGTGTGAAATGAAAGTGTGTATCACATTTCTAAGCATCATTTGATGTCCTTTCTCCAGCACTGTTGTTAGGATCTCCAAAAATATGTAGCAATAATTTAGCACATGGAAGAAGGATAACTGGCAGTTTAGCAGCCATCTTGCTGCTTTTACAATAAATTGTTGACAAGTATTAAAGTATATATGCATCCTTGTTAAAGTTCTAAGCAGTCATATTTAAAAGAAATAATCCATGCATACCTTAAGTGACTAGTGTTAAGCTAAGCTACTTGGTCTCTTGAATAAGCCTGGCTATGGAAACATGGAGCAACAATAATGCACCTACTGTAATGTGTTTGGCAGATCATGAAACTTAAGCACAAACACATTGCTAAACTCTCCTTTGAATACTGTCTGTGTGTATGTGTATATTGGCCCGATAAGGGTCTGTAAGAGGAAAAAACAGCCAAAACCCTCAAATTGTCTTGTTGCACTATGTAGCTATTTAAACACAGCTGATTTTTTCATCAGAACACTTTTTTTAATAATCTGCTGGAACAGAACCAAGTCTGTCATTAAACTGAGTACATGCTGCCAGAAGCTTGTAGCATGGGAACAAGCAAGCAGACTATGGACTGAAATTTTGTATTTTAAAAATGAGAGACAAAATTATTCAAATCAAGGATACTGATAATTTCCATAAGAACTCATTGAGATACGTAGATCTGCTCCAGCCCTTTGAGTAGGTATTAACAAGTACCTGGAATGCCCAAGTAAATGGCTACAGCAAGCAAATGATGAAGCAAATTGCTTTTCATTACTTTTGTGGCTGCCAGTGCTCCTTCAAGGGAGTATGTTATTTATGTTTGGTCTACTGGACATGTTAGGAACTTTTGCTTTCTGGAAGAAACTACAATCTCAGTACTTCAGTAAATGGGACATCTTTTGTACGTGGAAGCTACAGCTGAAAGCTTTTAATCGTGCCTGGCTAATGTATAATATATAGAACATGAACTGAAATTGTTAGTGGGAAGTTCCTCCTGACAAATCACACGTAAGTGGCAAATCAGGAACTTTCTTTAGGTTTCCAGGAAAAAAGTGAGTTTGTCACAAAAGTCACCATGGGTTTTTGGCTGGGTGAAAGATGCTGTTTATGTTGTTCTGTATGGTTGGACGGCTGGGAAACGTTTCCTGCTAGGTGTGCTCAAGACATGTAATTCTAGCTTAAGATACTTATGAGCAAGACCAAAGGGGCAACATATGTCATATGACCCTTTATATAGCTTGTTATGTGCACAGATGACAGGTTGGGGAAAGAAGGAGACGACTCAGAGCATATGTGTTCAGATACTCCCTCGAAAGTAGCCAAAGATCTTGGACCTTCAACAAGATCCCGAGTGTGTCTGCCAGGTTTTCAAAAGGGCAGCATGCAGAACTAAAACCTTGGATAACTTTCTTGTTAAGTCAAGCCATCAAACTGTGTAATGGAGAGAAGGATGAGTTACCTAGAATAGGTTGTAAAAGCAAAAAATGAAAACAACTGTGGCCCTGCACTTTCTCCTTCCCACTGCGCACACAAATGAGCAAGAATTAGGGCCTACTTTACATTCCCAGGCTTGAAAGGATGGGGAGCCAGCTGGCTCTTTTAAGACCAGGCACATTTCTGTTGCTCAGCACCGATGTCCTCTGGGCAGAAGGTCTTTTAGGCAGCAACCAACATCCTGCAGCTGGCACGCTATCTGAAGTGCCCAGGAAGTTTCTAGTGGACCTCTGGTCTCACCCTGTCAGTGATGTGGCTTCCCCTCCACTCCTTTATGCTTGCTGGTCCATGATAAGAGCTAGTTCAGAGAAGTACGTGAATTTAAATGCAGATTGAGGTGATCTAGATCAAAAGAATGTGATAATGGGCTGTAGTGCATGCTTCAGTCCATTCCCATTCAACAGAGCACTTGGCTCTTTCCTAATGACCATGTATATAAGGCTGCAGTGCACACCTTACGCTTCTGCGTGTTGCACAAGTACTATGATTAAGAGGGATAGATTGCTGAGTCAGGGCTGTAACATGGTTGCAGACAGTCTGCAGCAGTTACACTACAAAAATAGCATCTTTTTATCCAAGGCATCACTTGCTATTATTAAGTGTTTTCGTTAGCTTGCACAGGACACAATAAAAGATGTTTCAAAATACATCACAGCTGTACTTCTCTCTAATGAGGAGTGTTCACGGAAAGAGTGAAAGCTTTCAAAACTGTACAGTTTTTAAGGAAATTAATCCTATGGCTAAAAATATGAAGTTATAAAAATAGAGAGCACCATAATGTGAGGATGTCAAAGCAAGCCACAAACCCATCCTAAGCAAGAAGAAACTTCTATAAATGCTGTGGTGAGGAATACCTGCAAAGGATCAGAGCTTATCTGCAGTTATGTGCTCTCTTTCTCATCTGCTACATGTCCCTCAATAATTTTCTCTGACGAGTTCAGAAGGAGCACCCCAAGCAGCGTGGTGTGTCTGAAGGAACAGTTATAGGCCTTTTTTTTTTTTTTACCCTTTTGACCACATGACTGGGATGACAAATTGGTCCAAAGAAACACAAGAAGTAGGTCACCAACTGGAATCAACAGATTTGACTGGAAAAGACAGAGTGCAAAATGTCACACAAAGGACAATTTACAGACTCCATAAAATATTCACGCATTATATATATGTGCCAAATAAGACGATGACAAATATTGATAGAATTAATCCAGGATATTTCTAGCATATCTTTTTATCATGCTTTTTCAGTGTCTAAAAAACACCTAATATGTATATCCATTGATGTATTAATGATGTAGAATGCCTTAGCAGTTGTTATATTCTCTAAGGAAAAACTGTGACTACATAGATGGGCTTAGAATAAGGTCTTGACATTCAGTAACTTTAGGCTCTGTGGCAGAAGTTGGGACAGGAAGGACAGAAGAGTGTTGGAGTCAGCAGCTCAGGTTAAAATACTGTCAAAGCGATCAGACTTACTGATTGTAGTGGATATATTAAGTATTAAAATGCACAGGTGTTTGCCAGGATTTTTATTTTACTTCAGCATTAATTTTTTATAAAAGCCACTCAAAAGGGAATGATGTCTCCAAGTTGCACAATTTTACAGGAGAGATATTTTAGAGGGCAGATACATTTGGAAATTTCAGTTAACTCAGAAATTTAAATCTACTGTAGATTTATTTGAGTTTAAAATATGCAGTTGCTGATTCAGTAAGAGAACAATGTTTAGAAGATATATAGCAGAGGATATATAGGTGAAAGTTGAAATCAATAAAGCATGAACACATGCGTAAAGGCAGTGAATCTAACAGGATACATGTGGACTGTGTTTTAAAAAATATTGACGGTAACATTAAAAATGATCATTCAGACAAAACAAGCATATCATGAGTTACTAACTGCAATTACAAATAACAGTGAATAAATATTTCAAAGCTTTGGTCGAGAATTAGTTCTACTGAGTTTCCCAGGAAAAAAACAGTATGTAAATGCTGCAGATATGATATCTTTTCATTGAGGTAGGCTTGGAGGACAAAGCATTAAGGACGTACTTCAGCTTTTTGAGATTCAGTAAAGCACTTTAGCATGTCTGCTATGTTCTTAAGCACTCTGGTAAACTAGTCTTTGACATTTTGGAGGTGGATTTGCAATGCACATAGTACTGAGTACATTGTCACTAGATGATAAATATTTTTGAAAAGTCAGCAGTATGTGTCAACTGTGTGAATGTAACATAATTTTTAAATAACATTTTAATATTTTTATTTATATTAATTTTATTTGGCCGTGTTTAGGGATCTTGACAGTTTCTCAGCATCATAAAGTAAAATACCTAATAAATATATCTTGTTTACACACAAATGTTTGCTCAAACCTAATCGTTGAAGAAAAAAATAAGAATCTGCAAGAATATGATCTCTTGTTAGAAACGGAAATAGAGCATGTTATGCTTCTGTACTCCAAAAATAATTCTAGTTGTTTACGTATGTTCCGTGACTAGAGGAAAAAAAAATATTGCAAGATGAGAAATATATGAAGAAGAGACCAAAGGACTGAGGGATAAAAATAAAAGGCTGGCTACCTGCCAGAATTGTAATACATTGCCAAAATCAAAGCCCTGTAAGTCTGAGGGCCTTTGGTGGGAAATTTTAATCAGATGGAAAATTAAGGCAAGAAAAAAATAATTTTAACAGGCTATTTAATTATGTAGTCATGATTATTTTATGTTCATAATTCCTGTTTCTATAATGCATCTATGACTGACTGACTTTTCAAACAAATATAGGCACATCTTTCAGTAATCTGTTTTCCATTGTTTTATGTGATAACATTCTCCATGTCTAACACTTCCCCTGCGAACAACTCCTGCTG